GGTGTGCGCGGAGCAGGTGTGCAGGGAGCTGGAGATGTGTCTGGAGCAGATGTGCATGGAGCAGTGGATGTGCCTGGAGCAGATGTGCGTGGTGCTGGAGATGTGCGTGGAGCAGATGTGCGTGGAGCAGTGGATGTGCACAGAGCAGATGTGCATGGAGCTGGAGATGTCCATGGAGCAGATGTGCACGGAGCTGGAGATGTGCATGGAGCAGATGTGCACAGAGCAGGGGATGTGCATGGAAGTGATCTGCACAGAGCAGATGTGCACGGAGCAGATGTGCATAGAGCTGGAGATGTGTGTGGAGCAGATGTGTGTGGAGCAGATGTGCATGGAGCAGTGGATGTGCACGGAGCAGATGTGCATGGAGCTGGAGATGTGCCTGGAGCAGGAGATGTGCCTGAAGCAGATGTGCAGGGAGCAGGGGACATGCACGGAGGTGATGTGCACAGAGCAGATCTGCACAGAGCAGATGTGTGTGGAGCTGGAGATGTGCCTGGAGCAGACGTGCACGGAACAGATGTGCACGGAGCAGGCGATGTGCACAGAGCAGATGTGCAGGGAGGAGATATGTATGGAGCAGGAGATGTGCCTGAAGCAGATGTGCAGGGAGCAGGGGATGTGCACGGAGCAGGGGATGTGCACGGAGCAGGGGATGTGCACGGAGCAGATGTGCAGGGAGCAGCGGATGTGCATGGAGCAGAGGTGCACGGAGCAGGTGATGTGCACGGAAGTGATCTGCACAGAGCAGATGTGCACAGAGTAGATGTGCAGGGAGAAGGGCATGTGCATGGAGCAGATGTGCACAGAGCAGATGTGCACAGAGCAGGGGATATGCGTGGAGGTGATGTGCACAGAGCAGATGTGCAGGGAGCAGATGTGCACAGAGCAGATGTGCACAGAGCAGGGGATATGCGTGGAAGTGATGTGCATGGAGCAGATGTGCAGGGAGCAGGGGATAAGCACGGAGCAGGTGACTGGCACAGAGCAGGGGATGTGCCTGGAGCAGATGCGCACACACTGGCTGATGCTGGAGCAGGAGATGTGCGTGGATCCGGGGAGAAGGGCTGGAAGCACAGGCTGGTGCCAGCTGCCCCGATTCTAACACAGCATCATGAGCCCCGTCCCCGAACACCGGCCCCTTTGGGAGGGCAGGGAAAGGCGGGCAAGGGCTGAGCCCCGGCCCATGAGCTTTGGCAAAGTGGCACCGAGGGCTGCTCCCGAGCTGCCCCACGCGTGGTCAGAAGGTTTGGTGGGAGCTGGGCAGCTGCCCCGGGGCTGGCTGGGAGGTGGGAGCTGCCGGGGGGGCTCAGCATGAGCCCCGTCCCCGAACACCGGCCCCTTTGGGAGGGCAGGGAAAGGCGGGCAAGGGCTGAGCCCCGGCCCATGAGCTTTGGCAAAGTGGCACCGAGGGCTGCTCCCGAGCTGCCCCACGCGTGGTCAGAAGGTTTGGTGGGAGCTGGGCAGCTGCCCCGGGGCTGGCTGGGAGGTGGGAGCTGCCGGGGGGGCTCAGCACAA